AGTATTTTCAGAAAGAGACACAACTTCAGCAGAGGACACAATAAACAAACAGTAGGCACAGGTTACAGGTCATTCTCTTAAAGTGAAATAATGGTCTTACTGAAATCAGTTTTGACATTGATTTCAAAAGGAAGATTATTTCCTATGAAGAACTAGCATATGACACAGAGTCTCAAAATCCTGCTGTTATCACTGACATGATATGGCTCTGATACAGTAAATCACTTAAGTATGTGCTTAGGTTTCTCATCTATAAAACTGTATTTACCAACCTTATTTAGAGGTGTATGGAGCTTTGAATACAAAAACCACTATAAATATTATGGTACATGTTTATATTATTAAGGTCTTATACCATGAGTATGGCTGAGTGGTTGGGACACTAGCTGGGGACCAAGAACACTGAGATTTGAGTCCCCCTGCTACCACAGCCTTCCTGGTACGACCCTGGACAAAGTCTCTGTGGCTTAGCTCCCCATTTGTAAAATGAAGATAATAGTTCTTCTTGTGAGAAGAAATGCATTAAAGATTGTAAGACAAGGGTTTGACATGAGGAATGGCGCTTCGTGCTTGAAAGCTTGTCCAAATCTCTTCCGACTATACAGTTGGTCCAGTAAAAGATATCACCCAAAAAACCCATGCTTCTCACATATTTCCTGGACCATCACAGCTGCAACAACACTTCAACTCTGCTAAAAGGTTTTGAGATGTTCAAATACAATGATACTGAGGCCATTAACTGCACATAAATTGAATAAATAACATAAATCTCTATACATCTTCCCTCCCAACCAAGTTCCTACTTTCAACAGATAAGCACTGCCCACTCATTCCTTTTCAAATGCACACACAGGGCTACTCTGAGCCACCTACTCTCCCTAATTGTACGTCACAGTAGGAGACTCAGCTTGAGCAGGAAAGCCATACCGACATGGCCAAAAGTACCTTAGACAGATGTGAAATTATGCAAACACCATTCTGTGTTGTTACAAGTGTAACATCAAACAAAGACTTTTAAAATGATTTGCTTAAATAAAAACGAAATTGATTTTTGTGATTATTTAGGATGCCAAAAGAAAGCATTTTATAAAACCATGATTTAATCAATTGTGCAGCAATAAAAATCTGATCAACATAAAACAAACAGCATGGCTGGCAACAGATTTAGCATGCATGTTGCCTGCCAGTGTGCTGTAACCTTGACCTATAGAGACACACTTTGAAGGGAATATGGGTACCTCAACATCCAACCCCCTTCAATCATTGGCCATTGAGAATGCAAAAACATTATGAATGAGTGCCAAATAAAGCAGATGTTTCTATGATGTGTCTGCCTGACCAGTAGGGCCAAAGCAGAGGACTCCAAAGCACTTTAGAAAAGGCCTCTACAACAGCCTTCAGACACTTATGACTTAAGGACACCCCTGCTAAAACCATTTTTTTCCCTTCAGTTCAAAGGTAAACAGCAAGCCCTTTCAGTTACCATATATGTCATTGGCCCTACCTCGACTAGAAAAACATGCCAGGATTAAAAATGGGTTAGTTTAATGAATAACTTTTAAAATACATTTATGACTAGTCTAGACAAGGTGCCGAGAGCCTGATCCTGAGCAGCAGTGAGCAACTTCAAATTCTGCTAAGGACCCCTCCTTTCTGGAATGAGGTACTGAGGCTGAAAAGTGTAAACCTCTGTACTGAGGTTTTTGAACACCCACTACAACCAAGAACCTTCCTTTGTGCAGGAAAATATAAAACAGAATTTCTCTCAAGGACTTTAAAGCCACAGTTTCCCAGGGATTTATTTGCAACAGGTCTGCAGGAATACTTTTTTTTTAAACCTCAGATACGTAATGCTCATCTTCGGAAAAATACTTCCAGTGCCATTTTCTATCAGATATCCAGCAACAGGTCCATATGCCAGGAGTTCATAAACATCAATAAATCTTCTGCCATAATCCTTGCTGTTTTTACTGACAAATATAATAAAGTACAGGATGCAAAGCTTTAGAAACCTGCTGGGGTTTCTTCCACACACCCCCCCACCCCTTTTTCTGTATTTTCCTTTTTTTTCCCCCTTAACAAGCTTTACAGAGTAGCACTTATGAGACATGTTCAAGTGCTGTAAACCTAATCTTTGCAATTTCCTCTTTTCTCAAATGACCCAAGTATCTTCTGAATATGAAGGGTTTTCTATATCAGACAACATTTGCCTTTTTGTATTTAGGTCATTCTTGAGGAAACACATTTGGATGCAATGAAAAAAATCATGTTTGCATTCCTAAGATGCACTCCTTAATGAATCCTCTGCAATTAGACTGATGAGAGGATTCCCTTAAGTCTCAAGAGCAAGACTAGTTGGTGGGAAACACGGGGTGAAGTCTGGGATGTTGGGAGACCTGGAGACCTTTGTTTCTTGAACTTCAGTAAAACCCAAATTTTACTTCTGGGATTTATTCCCATTTCTGCCAAAGATCTCCTGCGTCAGTTTTGTCAGTTTAAACAAATTACATACGGTTCAGTTTGCAAAGGCAATGAACGCTAGGCCTGTACGAAGCTTCGGACTTGGCTGATTCAGATGGACAGCGATTCGATTCAGACATTCGGCCAAATCAGATCCCAAGATTTGGCACCGCTTTGGAGATTTGGCCATAGACTAAACAGGAAGCAGTCCTCATCACACTGGACACAGCTCCCTCCAGCTGGTAAGTCTGTTGTGGTGGGTGGAGGGGAGAGGGAAGGTGTGTGGGGGTGGGGGGCAGATCAATGCCTCCACAACAAGGGAGGGATTGGGGCTGGGACAAGCTGCCCAGCCAAGGTGAGGGACTTGGGAAGGGGGGCGGGGGGGATGCAGGCGCAGCAGCACTGGGAGAGGGGGCTGTGCCCAGCCGCCACTTGCCCAGCCGGTACAGGGTCGTGATGCAGGTGCGACTCGCTTCAGGTTGAAGGGGGCAAGCAGCAGTAGGGCATAGCCTATGCTTGCCTGGGGTGGGGAGGCATGGGGTGGGAGCACTGTCACTGCTTGCCCAGCTGAGGAGGGGGGAGGGCACTGGATGTGGGCGCTGCTACCACTTGCCCAGCTGGTGTGGAGGGGGGGATGCAGGAAGCAGGGCAAGCAATGGCAGCACCCACATCCTACGCCTCCGATGGGCAAGAAGCAGCAGGGGATAGCTGCTGCTCCCAGCACTGCTGCACCCGCATCCCATGCCCCCCTCCCTGAGTCCCCTGCCCTGGCTGGGCAGCTTGTCCCAGCCCCAAACCCTCTCTCGTTGTGGAGGCGTTGATCTGCCACCCCCATGCCACTTCTCTCCCCCCTCTGCCCACCACAACAGACTCACCAGCTGGAGGCATCTGTGTGCAGCATGGTGAGGACTCCTGCCTATTTAGTCTATGGCCAAATCTCCGAATCAGGCAAAACCTTTTCCGACTCCATTCGGACCTTTTAATTGGTCTCCCAATTCGATTTGGATTCAGAGACTCAACCGCTGAATTGAGCCAAATCTCCACTGAATTGAATCTGCTACCAAAGCTTCACACAGCCGTAATGAATCTCCGTATAAGATTAATGGGACACTAATGTTTTCTGCTTTTAGGGCCTTGTTACATGCTCAAAAATTGATCAGTGTTAGTGCTAGCTGGAGTTTGGAGCAGTCACACTTTAAGGCTAAAAAACCTTCTTTGACAGTCCCCACCCTGCACAGCTATGACCTGCCACTGGAGGGCTGAGCATGGGCCTAACTAGGAGCTACAGCTGTGAGTTGCCACTACAGGGCTGGTGAGCAGGGCTAGCCTTCTATCGCTGTTCTAAGTTGGGTTGTGTGAGAGCTGGGTTAGGGAAGGCAGGAACATGAAACTGGGAGGTGGAGAGTTAATGGGATTGAAATGAAGTTAGCCACTGAATGATAAACTGAAAAGGGTTTTGTGACAAAGGTGCCTTCTAAGCCTGAAGGCCCCACCCTTGCTTCTGAGCAAACCGCCCACCTTGCTTCTCTGCCACACCTTGATAAATGATTATATCAAATAGGCAGGAGGCTGCCCTTTGTGCACCCAAATGACTGTGGGCTATCAGTACATGCTCCTACCATCCCTACATGTATCCCATGCCATGCTGATGTCTCATTGTGTGATGATACTCTGGCTCAAGGCCAGGCCAAACTGGGCATACTGTTGTAGCTTTATCATACTGCCCGCTTTGGGGCCACACACACTCCACCCCCCTCTCACCGGGACTAGTTTCATAGTTTCTAGGGTCGGAAGGGACCTGAGCAGATCATCTAGTCCGACCCCCTGCCACGGCAGGAAAGAGCACTGGGGTCAAACGACCCCAGCACGGTGGTCATCCAACCACCTCTTAAAAACCCCCAGGGTGGGAGCCTGCACCACCTCACTTGGAAGCTGGGTCCAGACTCTAGCCACCCTGACCGTGAAGTAGTGCCTCCTGCTGTCCAACTTAAACCTTCCCTCCGCCAGCTTGTGACCGCTGTTCCTGGTCACTCCTTGCGGCACTCGGGGGAACAGGGACTCCCCCAGCGCCTGCTGATCCCCCCTAACCAGTTTATAACAGGCCACAAGATCCCCCCTCAGCCTTCTCTTGTGGAGGCTGAACAGGTTCAGGTCCCGTAAGCCTCTCCTCATAGGGCCTGCTCTGCTGTCCCCTGATCATGCGAGTGGCCTCCTCTGGACCCTCTCGATGCTGTCCACATCCCTCTTGAAGTGTGGCACCCAGAACTGGATGCAGTACTCCAACTGCGGTCTGACCAGTGCTGCATAGAGGGGGAGGATCACCTCTTTGGACCTGCTTGAGATGCATCTGTGGATGCATGACAAGGTGCGGTTGGCCTTCCTAACTGCCTTCCCACACTGCCGGCGCATGTTCATCTTGGAGTCAATGATGCAAAACCAATGCAAAAATGTAATTTAGGAGATTGGGCCCCTGAGAGACCCAATGGGGCAACTGACATCCAATGCCCAAGAAAGGGCCAACACTATCCTTTTTCTTTTTCTGACTTCCCATGTATCTGAAGGAGGACTTTTTGTTGTTCTTGATTTCCGTAGCTAGCCTAAGTTTGGTTTGCGCGTTGGCTTTTCTCGACCACTCTCTACAGGTGCGGGTGAGTGCAGAGTAATCCTCTTTGGT